GTTAGGACCGGAAGGTCCACAGAGTTAGGACCAGAGGGTCCACAGAGTTAGGGCCAATGGGCCCACAGAATTATAGCCTCAAGTGGCTAATATGTGTTATATGTGGTATTTTGGGGAACTCACTAAGCTTCGTGTGCTTACTGTGTTATGTGTTATGTGTTTCAGGTGTTCTCAGTATCTCGGGACGGCACCGGCTTGATTGTACACACCAGTGAAAGAATTATGTTTCGAAGATCCTGGATAATTAATGAAGTTGTGCTTGTAATTTAAATAAACGAGATTTCTACACAATATGTTATGAAAAGTATACGATTTTAAAATGAAAAATCTGTTTGAAAAATTACGGTGTTACATAAACATTTGTTTAAACAACATTACACTAGTACTTTTGACCAAACAAGACATTTTCTAAATGCCAAAGTGAACTAAGAATAAAATGACTTAGGTTACACATTATTTTTCAATAACTGGTGTTAGGGGTGAACAAAAATCTCACGGGTACCAAACTGACATAGTTTATGTTAATATTAGACGATATTCGGTACTCTAAAATCACGAAATTTGGGATTCAGTATAGTGGATATCAGTAACCGGTACCATACCCGGTACATGTACTGTTAACTTTCGTTCGGTTCGGTACTCGATATCATTCTTTCATCCATTTCAGATATTCTCTGGTTGGTACCGATTCGGTACCATGCTTGTCCATAACTGTTTTACACATTATTATATAGATTCTCAAAATATAATGACTTAGTGCAACAAAAAAACAACAATAATAATACATTGGTCCCATACAAAATGGGGTTGGCAACCTCTACCATTAGTCATTACAAAGAAAAACTGTATTCATAAAAGGCATCTGACAAAAGGAAGGGATATAAAGATAATAATAATAATAATATTACAAATTGTGTATCTTTGCATATGATCCCTATATATAAAAAGGTTAGATGTCTCCGTAAGGAAACATTAGTTAACAATGAAAAAAACACTAATGCATCTTTAAATAAAGAACCAATAAAATAAAGCAAATATGGAGGTAGAAAAGATAAGAAAAACATGAATGAACACACAAGTAGTGATAGTCTGATAGATACGATAAATAATTTGAAAAGTCAATACTAACCACACATGTTGGAAGTATAGGTAACCTAGGTAAGTAGGTGTCATAAAATACAATGATGTAGTAAAATAAAACATTAAAAACAATTATAAGGTAGCGTTTGGTATGCAGTAAGCAAAAAGGGATGAAATGTAGTATTATGAATAAAAAAATCATGATTGGTTGCCACAAAGGAATGAAATGGAGCATTCCTTACCAATTATGAGTCATTCTTTTGGGATGATTTTCATTCCGTGGGAGGAGGGTTTTTTTTTCTTCCGTTCCTTTTAGGAATAGAATGATATAAATATTATTCATGTAATTTTAAATAAATATTAATCTTTTTAAAAATTTCAAAACATATTTTCAAAAGATAAATAGAAGTATTTCATTGTAATTATATTTTAAAATTTTATCGTATCTAGTTTTTTTTTTATTTTGTAACATTTCTTTAGATTATAGATAATTTTCTTTAACTATTTGTAATACAAAAAATCTGTATTTTAAATGAAATAAAATATTTTATATGCAATTTATTTAACAATTTATAATTACTCAATTAATATGTTTATAAAATAAAATTCTTACCTTTACTTATCAACTTTTACTTTATTTAGTTTTTATTCGTTAATAATAAACAACTGAATAATGATTCATTCTAAGCATTGTAGCCAATCAAACATGATAATGGAATCTAATGATTATTTCTATTACCTTGCTAATTTCATTATGTTGCCAATTTAATTCCTTCGTACCAAATTCCTTCATACGAAACAGACATTTTACATTGTAATTTCTTGCATTTTGCCTAAATTATTGGCTAAAGATACTATAGAAATTTATGTAATAACTACATAGTTACATACACAATATATTATCTAGTCAAGCATCACAATGTTTAAAATAAAATTCCATACAATTAAAAAAACCTAAAATCACTAGACCATGTTTGGTCCTTATTACAACATTCTTATTTACTAAGAGCTTTTTAATCTACTTGTGCTTAAAACCAAGAATCTCTTTATTGCCAAAAACAGTACCCATGTGCTCTTTGTGATCTTTTCCTTTATCATTAAAAGCAATGCTGAACTTAAAACAGTCTTTAGAATTTGGGCTCTTAACCCTTTGAAGAACCCTAGAAATCCTTCCTTATTCCATATAGCATGTAATGCCCCAGATACCGTTTTTCTTGATTCCATTTCTGATTCCTCTTCTCTATCTTCACTTGATTCTGCAGCTTGAATCATTACCTTACATCTGTAACATAATTCATATCAACTTTGAATTATGTTAGTGACATGGTTTGTTATTCATAACAACATGTTTGAATGACTCATTCCATTCCTTCGAGTCAACCAAACATGACAACGGAATGGAATAATCCATTCCATTCCTTTGTGATTCCATTCCATTACTTATTTAGAATTTACCTGATGGCAGGGTAAGTCAAGCAGGTAGCCACACATTTTGATGCTGCCCCTAACAGAAAAGCCGAAAGGGCAGAAAGGGATTGTGGATTTCCCAACTTACCCTCCAGTAATCTTTCTTTCAGTTGATCAAATGCAGTGTACTACAAAAATAAAAAAGTAAAATAATTTAAAAATTACCTCATCATCATTTGTGTTTTCATGGTGTTATCTTAAGATAGAACAGTTTGTACAAAAGACGTAAATGCCCTGGCCTCCACATACTCATCATTTGACAAAATTACCTGAATTGCTGGATTTAAAGTAAGCAGAATTGATATGCCAAGTCCATCAAATGCCTCTCCCAAAGTTCCCTCTGAGAGGGTCTTTATTAGACCTTTGGACTTCCCAAAGTCACTTGTTTGCATCCTTGATGCAGCTGTATCCAAAGGCTGAAAAAAAAAAACATCTCACATTTATATAGTTTTTTTGTTATTATTAGGATTAAATGCAATAAATAGCCACACACTTTCATAATTCCTTGACTTGTTCATTATAGCATCTCAATTTTCACCCCTATAACTAGATAAACTTTTCAAAGTACAATGTTGTGATAGAAAGAAAAGAAAGTAGGATGCTATAATACATAAATAAAATGAATGTACATTGGTATTTCTTGTGTTTATAATTGAGGGCTAACCATGGTTATTGCAACTGTACAAGCACCAGCAACAGCAGCTATAATCAAGTTAGCTTTTGTTCCAACAGATTTAAATCCAGAACGTTCCATATGCAGCTTCCTAAAGAAGCTATATCCATAAAAGTATATGAATGATGAAATGAACGATTGCAGATTCTTTGTCCCAAGGCCTTGATACAAAGAAAGAACTTGACGTTTACGAATTGCTTCCCAGAGAACATCTGAAAGGTTCCTGTAGCAAATATGTATAATAAGCAACATTTGCATAGTAGGAATATCCACCAATAACATTTCTTTTAGGGTTTGTTATATATAATTAAGAAACATAATTCAATTCATAGCTCCATACTTTCGTCAATAAACCAGTCAATCTATTCAAAATCGCGAGAAACTCAAAACCATCAACCGTTCGCATAAAATACAAGTCAAAATCGAGATCACTGATGAAAGAAAGAATCAACGAAAGCGTATGAGGATGAAACTGGGAAGTAAAAGGAAAACCTGTATTTTCGGAGATTAGGGGTACGTAGTTCAGCTTGGTACTTGGTTTTGCAGGTATCTAAAGGGTATAAGATAGTAGTGCTAGCGAGAGATCCAATAGCCCCTGCTGTTGCATCCACCAACGATTCCATATCAAAGCCACCCATTAATCTTCGGTTTTTGTGGAAATTGATTGAAGAAATCTTCCAAAGTAGTTGGGATATTTTATCTTGAGAAAGATGAGATGGCGAATTAATTTATATACAGGGAGAGAAAGAGGTATGGAGACCGGAGAGTGATGTTGAGGCGATTGGTAACGTGGGAGAATGGGGCTCTGGACACAGTAGAAACGAGTCAATTGACCCTTGCAGTCAACCAAGCTTTTGTAAATGTCAAATTGCATTAAACTTATATAATTTTCACTTGGACCATCTTCATCCTGCTTTTGTTTTTTTCTCAAAAAAAATAGAGTTTTTTCTCAAAAAAAATAGAGTAAAAAATAAGATAAATAGTGTTTCATCTTCGATTCTATTCCATTTTTTATCCTATTTTTGCCTAAAAAAATAAATTTTATTTTTCTAATTTATATAAATTATTAAACACACACCTACCATTAATTTGGTTTTAACAAATATATAATCTATATTTTTTTCATTACAATAATATTAAATAAATACGATTATATTTATAATATGTAATTATAAGCTTTGTAAAATACGTTATTGTGTTTTAAAATTTCAATATGTATTTAAATTTTAATATGAAATTTTTTAAACAAAAAATAAACTTTATATTTATAATTAATATATAACATAATACTATAAGTATTAAATATTCAATTTAAATAATAATTAGTAGATAAAAAAACTAGAAATGTATAAATATATAAAACAAGGGAGTAAAACCGACAATTCAAAGTTCATCTCCATTTTGGGGGAAATAAATAGTATAACACAAAATATGATGTTATATCATTTATTCCCCCCAAAATGGGAAAATAAATGAAGTAGGGTTGGAGAGGAATGTGGGAAGAAATATGAGAAATAATGGAGAATGTGAGTGAGTTGGAGATGCTTTTAGAAAACTAGCATTAACTTTATAAATTATATAAGATTGTGAATTTGTAGTTTTATATCATCTAAGATAATTGATTCTTGATTTTTCTGTTTGGATTGATGACTATTATATAAGATAATTGTTTCCAAGTCAATAAAATGTATGGACTATATGCTAGTTCCAATTCAATGAAAGATCCTACGCCTCTTTAACTCAAAAGGTCACAACTATACAAGTCCCCACATTGCCGTGAAACAAGTTAGATATTTGTTTTTTCAGAGGCAAAATGTATGCAGTCTGCAGACTACATCTGCAGACCTTTGCAGTAAAAGAGATATACCAAACGTTTGCAGTCTGCAAGAAGAATACTGTTTGTTTTTTAAAGTCTGCAAAATGCTAAAAAATAAATGATTTTTTAAACTTAAAAAGACTTGGAAAAAAGATTAATAAACAAAATTTAACAATTTTCATTATATTATCGAGCAATAAAAATGATCATTTCGAAGACACTAATAAACAATTTTAACATATAATAAATCAAAATAACCATAATACATTACATTACAGAATTATCCTAAATTATCCAAACATCATACTCCATGCTCTGAATCACATTCTTCATATGTGAAATAGTCATCACTTTACATTGCAAACCCATAACACAATAGGCAGAGATAGCTCTTTGGTAACATGCACATTCTCAACTAGTAATATCTCTTTTCTTTCTTGTAGAAGTAATCACTTGTAACACCTCAAATTTTAGACCAAAATTTTCATTTTTCAAACTTCCAAAAACATAGTTCACAACCAAATATCAAGTACAAGTCAATACCAAAACCACAAGTGTCATAGTTATCAGAGTACATAAAAGATCATATCCCAGTAATAAAATCCCAGTGCGTGTGAACAATCAGACATTCACCTTCCCGCGGTCCTGCGAAGTACCTGCCACATAAAAATCAATAACTGTAAGCACAAAGCTTAGTGAGTTCCCCAAGATACCACATATAACTTAGCGTGAATAAACAACTATGATCTGCAACCCTAGGACTATCAGCAGTCCCGGTGAGCTAACAATATACTCGGGAGGTTATCAGCAAACCCCAATTGGCTAACAGCAGCCCCAGCTAAACAAATATTATATTAACACATAACATAACATAACATAACACAACATAACAGCTAGACCCAACTGGTCATAATGTTACAACTATCCTACCACACATGTAAGAGTAAGTGAGGAGACTCACCTGATACTGATGACACAAAAACCTAACACCCGAACTGTCGGATCTAGACTCTGGCTATTCAACCAAATAGATTACCCTTAATTTATAATTAAGGCCCATAACCATATCACGAGTCCAAGTCCACAGCTAAGCCCACTAAGGGCAAAAAGGACCATATTGCCCCTCCCTAGGTCCATACCCTAAACTTTGACCTAAAAGTCAAAATCAGCAAAGGTAAACAAAAGTCAACCGAAGTCAACACCCAGCGAGTACGTTGGGCGTACTGCTGGCCATGCATGCGATGGGGATCTTTAGCTCTACGTTGCGCGTAGATGGGAGTATGCACGACATACTCCTCAGACTTCCATTCTTTACTTCTTTTGGTCTTAATACATTAAGACAAGTACTCAAACTATAGATCTGAGCTAAACAAGGTCTCTTATTCCATAAAGTCGTGGGCTTTAAGCCTTTGCATGGCCATGGGAAGCTAGAACATCATTTCACCCTTTTCAAACTACTTTACTCATGCATGGGACACAAAGGAAGATCAAGCAAGCATTTTTATCCATCTAGATGCCCTAAAATGCATGAAAGGACAACCTAAACTCTCTAGAGAGTCACAAACTCGACAAGGTCTAAACTTGAGGACTTAAACTCATAAATTTTGCACCGAAAGAGATCTAATAGAACACTAGCCAAGGTACAAGCTTTATACTTGGAAATGATGCACAAAGATGGATGGTTTCTGGATCATTAAGCTAGATGGCACCTTTTTCTTCTTCTTCTTCTTCTTCTTCTTCTTATTCTAACTTCAATCTTTCACTACAAGGGTCAAGAATCTCTTTAAGCTTTCAAAATCACACCCATAAGCACACACTCGAGATTTAGGGTTTAGGAAAGGTTGGAGGATGATAAAGTTGGCTAGAAATGAGGCCATCATATTATTTAAATAGGGACACAAGAAATATTAGGGTTTGCATACTGAGCCTAGTACGCCCAGTGTACTAGGTAGCCTCCGCGATCTTGCTTAGTGCATGAGTACGTTGCGCATATTCATGCATACGCCCCGCGTACTCACTTACCACCTTTTACAAAATAAGGACTAATTTTGACATAATAAAGAAAGGTTAAGGAAATATAATTATACATCGATTCGGGATGTTACATTTCTCCCCCACTAGGATCAGACTTTGCCCTCGAAGTCGTCCTCCAGAAACAACTTAGGATACTGCTCACACATCTCGGACTCCGGTTCCTACATCCACTCCGAACCTCTACGATGCTGCCACTGAACTTTGACCAAGTTCACTACCTTGTTCCTCAAGGTCTTCAATTTATGATCCAAGATGGCTACAGGCTTCTCCACATAATTCAGGCGATCATCGACCTGAATATCCTCTAAGGGAACCACAGCCGCCTCATCGGCTATACTCTTTTGACGGCTCTGCACAGTCAAAAGCCGTTTCCGAACTTGTTGTATGAGCTTTGTCGTCTTGAGCACGACTTCCATGCTCCCCATGACCCTCTGTCCCACTTCGCCCCAACAATTAGGAGTTCGGAACCTCTGACCATAAAGGAGCTCGAATGGGGGCATACCGATACTAGCATGATGACTATTATTATATGAGAACTCAGCCAAAGGAAGGTAGGAGTCCCAACTCCCACCATAATCAATAACACACGTGCACAACATATCCTCGAGCGTCTGAATCATCCGCTCGCTCTGCCCATTCTTCTGCGGATGGTACGCGGTGCTAAAATGTAGCCGGGTACCCAACTCCTTATGGAACCTCTTCCAGAATCTAGAAGTAAAACGCACATCCCGGTCAGACACGATAGATGTCAACAACCTACACCGAACCACCAACTTACAAACATAAATCTCGGCCAACTTCTCTGCAGATTAGTTCTCACTTATAGCTAAGAAGTGAGCACTCTTCGTCAAACGATCCACTATAACCCAGATAGTGTCAACATCCTTCGCATTCCTCGGCAACTTAGTAATGAAATCCATAGTAATCTGTTCCCACTTCCATAGGGGAACCTCCATAGGCTGCAACTTGCCATGAGGGCGCTGGTGCTCTGCCTTGACCTTTGGGTAGGTCAAACATCTCTTTACAAACCATGCCACATCTCTCTTCATGCAGGACCACCGATAATTATGCTTCAGATCAAGATACATCTTTGTGGCCCTCGGGTGGATAGAAAACCTCGACTTGTGGGCCTCGTCCACCAAAATATGCCTGGTTTCACTCGCATATGGCACCTATACTCGCCCATAGAGAGTCAAAATCCCTCTAATTTCTATTTCAAATTCCGAAACCTGCCTGATCACCCACTCACTCTTACGGTTTTCTTATTTTATAGCCTCCGCCTGGGCCTCCTTGATGATATCTAAGACTGGAGTCATCATTGTCATCCTCATAAATGCATCTCGTATCGGGGCACTCGCTGCTCTATGACTCAGGGCATCGGCCACCACATTAGCCTTACTTGGATGATACAAGATCTCACAATCGTAGTCCTTTACTACGTCTGAACACCTCCTTTGCCTCATATTCGGGTTGGGCTGATCCATAAGGTACCTCACGCTCTTATGGTCCATGTAAATGGTACGCCGGACACCATAAAGATAATTATGCCAAATATTGAAGGCGAATACCACTGCCCCCAGCTCCAAATCATGGGTGAGATATGTCGTCTTGTGAGGCTTCAGCTGCCTCGATGCATATGCTATCACATGCCCTCTCTGCATCAACCCAACACCCAAACCTGCAATGGATACATCATAATAGACCACAAAATCCTCCACTCCCTCCGGGAGGGCAAGCAATGGAGCCTCACACAATCTCTGGCGAAGAGTATCAAATGATGCATGCTGCTCACGCCCCCAAATAAAAGCAACATCCTTCCTGGTCAACTTGGTGAGAGGAACAACAATCTTGGAGAAATATCTGATAATAACCCGCCAGA